GTAATCCCTTTTCCTTTTACTGAAGGAAACGGTTGCCACTCTGGGGAGTTAAGTTGTGACAAGGGCCTGGGAAGGCATGGTTTGACACTTCACAAGTAAAAATTCCTTCATTCTCAAATTTTTCATCTTCCTACCTTACCCATTTCATCTCCTTCTAACATGAAGGCACAATTTTGAGACCTACAACTAATCTTCCTTTCTTCATTTTTTAAAACCTAACTCAAGGCCATTAACTTTTTAAGTAATCACTTTAAATTATCTTGTGGAACCCTTTTTGAAATCCACACTTCCCATTTTGTAATTTCTCCCCTTGGTTTTTTGTTTGTTTGTTTGGTTTGGTTTTTTGAGACAGTATTTCTCTGTGTAGCCCTGACTGCTCTGGAACTTTGTAGACCAGGCTGGCCTGGAACTCACAGAGAAACGTCTACCTCTGCCTCCTGAGTGCTTTGATAAGAAGTTGCACCACCCCAGCTGGCTCCGTCTTGGTTTTCTGAGACAGGGTTTCTTCCCCACCCCACACCCTTTGGAGTTTGTTGTTGTGGCTTTGAGACAGGGTTTCTCTGTGTAGCCTTGGCTGTCCTGGACTCACTTTGTAGACCAGGCTGGCCTCTTAGAGATCCGCCTGCCTCTGTCTTCCAAGTGCTAGGATTCAAATGGCACACAATGGTCCATTTTGTAACTTTATATATTTACTTCTTGCTTACTTCTTCTTTCCTTTCTTCCTCCCTCCCTTCTTTCCTTTTTTTTTTTTTTTTTAAAAAGAGTCTTGATCTGGCTGGACTGGAGTTTGCTGTGTGAACAGGCTGGCTGACCTCAAACTCCATGTAGTCATACTGCTTCTGCTTCCAAAATGCTGGGATTCCAAGCAAACGTCATGTGCCAACATGCTTGCTTGCCTTTTGTAGTTCTTTAATTCTAGTGCATAGAAATATAACACTGTATTCCAAGAAAGACTGCCTTTATCAGCTGACTTACATTTTTTATTTATCTATTTATTTGTTTTTGGTGCTGAGAATTGAACCCAGAGACTTGAAAAAGCTAAGCAAGTTTTTTTTTTTTTTTCCATAGCACTACAACCCCATCCCTCTAAAAAAAAAAAAGAAAGAGCTGGGAGGTGGCACACACCTGTAATCCCAGCACTCCAGGAGGCAGATCTCTGTGAGTTCAAGGCCAGCCTGGTCTACAAAGTGAGTCCAGGACAGCCAGGGCTACACAAAGAAACCCTGTCTCTAAAAACTAAAATTAAAAATAAAATAAAATAAAATAAAAACGAAGAAACAGAGACGGATAGATTTTTAGATGTTTAGGGGCTGGAGAAATGGCTCAGTGGCTAAGAGCTCATACTGCTCTTGCAGAGGATCCAAGTTCAGCTCCCAACACCCAGTCAGGTGGCTCAACTGCCTGCAAGTCTGACTCTGAGAACCCTGGCCCCCTGGCCTCTGCAGGCACCACATATACCACAGACATACAGATAATTGTTTTGTGTTTTTTTTTTTTTTTTTTTTTTTTTTTTAAGACAAGGTTTCTCTGTATCCCTGGCTATCCTGGAGCTCACTCTATTGACCAGGCTGGCCTGGTCTGCCTGCCTCTGCCTTCTGAGCCCTGAGATTGAAAGTGTTCGCCAACACTGCCCAGCACATAAACATAATTTAAAAGCAAATAAAAATTTAGCAGGGTTTGTGGTGATACACACCTGTAATCCCAGTACTCAGGGAGGCAGAGGCAGGAGGATCTCTGTGAGTTTGAGGCCAGCCTGATCTATAAAGTCAGTCCAGGACAGTCAGGGCTACACAGGGAAACTCTGTCGTGAAAAACCAAAAAAGAAAAAAGTGTACAAACTGGGCTGGAGAGATGGCTCAGCAGTTGAGAGCACTGCCTATTCTTCCAAAGCATGCAGGTTGGTTCCCAGCACCTATGTGGCAGCTCACTCCTTCTGCAGCAACAGTTTCAGGGGACTGGACACCTGTTCTGGTGTCTAAAGGCACCAGGCACACATGTGGTATGAAGACATGTGGGCCAAACCTCATACACACTTGTTGTTGTTTTTGAAGTGCACAAATTGCTTTGCATGGTGGTGCTTGCCTGCAACCTTGGGAGACTGGAGACTGGAGCAGGGAGGAGCAATCGGTTTGAGAGCAGCTTGGCCTACACAGCTACTGAGTAAGTTTCGAACCAACCCGGGGATACATGGTAAGAATCAAAATTAGGGCCCCTCCCCCAAAGCACAGACTACACAAGAAAATACATCAAAACAAGTGTCAACAGCAAGATAAAGAGCATCTCAGGTCATATATCCCAAATTCACAAGCCCATATTCACATATACATACACACACACACACACACACACAATCAGCCTTGTGCACAGCCACAATATGCACCATATACAAATATCACTCCCTTAGGCATTCTAGAACATTGACTTTTGACTTGTAAGAATGCAGAGACTTTTTTTCTTTTTTGGCTTTTGGATACAGGATTTCTCTGTGTAGTCTTGGCTGTCCTAGACTCGCTTTGTAGACCAGGCTGGCCTTGGAACTCATGGAGATCCGCCTGTCTCTGCCTCCCACGTGCTGGGATTTCAGGCATGTGCCACACACCTAGCTCATTGTTTGTTGAGGTCAGAGGACAAATTGTGGGCGTGTCCTACCATGTGGGCCCAAGATGGGACTCAGGCTTGAAGGCATGACCTTTGCCATCTGAATCATTTTGACAGACACCCAAAGACTTTTATAATTACTTTTTTAAAAAAAGTATCATTAGTGTATGACTGCATGTGTGAGTGTGTACACATGCTACACTCTGTGATCAGGCTGGGAGTGATCCTCTCCTTCTACCATGGGACCCAGGGCTTAAAATCAGGTCATGGGGTTTGAGTAGCAATTGCTTTTACCCACCATCCCCCAAGGTCTTCTAGACAAACATCTGATTCTGCAGATGCTCCTCCTCTTAGCCTGCCCACTGGTCCCAGTATTTCCTGAATTGCTTCCCAGACCTTACAAATTATCAGGGAGAGATATGAGATTAAATCCAAATCCCTCAGTCCTAGCTCTCATTCCCCATCTCTCCTACACTTAGAACCTAAACGTCAGGCTGTCTGCTTAGATGCCAGTGATGTATCTAGCATGTGCAAGGCCTTAGGTTCCACCCCCAGCACCAGCACCACCCAAACCACAAAAACACAGAAAGGGATCTAAACTTAAACACCTCCAATACTCCAAAGGGAGTGGAGAGCTTAGAAAGACATTTTAGATACATTCAAATACATTAAACCCTGACAGAGAAAACTCTAAATAAGGAACTTGGAGGGGAAAGAGAACCAGAAAATAGCTGTAATGGGAGCACTGGGGAGGCTGAACCAGGAGGATCACAAGTTCTAGGTCCAGGCGGGGCTATGTAATAAGCCCTACTTTAAAAACAAAGATGAGAAAGGATCCAGGTACAGTGGCTCCTCCGTCCGTGCTTACCATACTGTGACCAGCCTGGGCTGCAGAATGAGTTCAAGGCCACCCTGGGATAAGGAGGGACACCATGTCTCAAAAACAAGAAACTAATAAAAAAGACAATGAGACTCTTACACAGTACTATATGGATTTGAAAATATAGATGGAATGTTCCCCTTTCAAACATGCATACCTATAAAATGAATTACATATGTATATATATTTGATATGACATCCATCTATATATTATACCTATTGAAAATGAAATATATATGTAATCAAAAAATTTGCATAGAGCTTCATTTCTTCTTTTTTGTTTGTTTTTGTTTTTGAGACAGGATTTGTAGACCAGGCTGGTCTCGAACAGAGATCATTCTGCCTCTGCCTCTGCCTCTGCCTCTGCCTCCCTGAGTGCAGGGCCAGGCCTGGCTTGCTCTTGTGATTTTCTAGACAGGGTTTCTTTGTGTAACCTTGGCTGTCCTGGACTCACTCTGTAGACCAAGCTGGTCTTGAATTTAAGAGATCCGCCTGTCTCTGCTTCCTGAGTGCTGGGATTACAGGCCTGCACAACCCTCACCTGGCTGTAGAGCTTTATTTCCTGAGTATATTACGACTCCTAAGATCCTCTGGGACACAGGCCGGATGAGATACCAGTGTTTTCTGAGTCTCTGAAATGGTCTGTTCAGGTCCATGAAGATAGGAATCTCTCCCCACCTCCAACATTCCATCAGACAAGCATAGATCTCTGCTCTAAAGAGCTGTAATGCTCAGAGGGGGTAAAAAGTCATGCTGCTGTGGCTCACGGCTCCTCCTCCAGCACTGCATACCACGAAAAGCCAAGAGGCTGCCGACGGTATTCTCTGGCACATGTGGCAAGACTGCCCCTCTCTCTCCAGCCTGTTCCCTCAACCACAGCTTCCCAGGCAGCTAAGGGTTAATTGTAACGACTCCAGGGTTCGCTGGCTATCTGCAGGGCTCCAAGTACCCGCTGAAAAGGCAAGTCCCAAAGAATCACAGAGCTTTCTGCCTTAATCCCAAGGCGTGTTACATCCCCAAATTCCTCTTCCAGGATGGGTGGGGTGCGGTGGGGTCTTCAGTTATAGAAGCACACGCTCAACTCTTGAAGAGCCTCTCTGACTACCTGTAATTTCAGCTAGCTGGTGGTTTGAGCAAAAAGCAAAGCGGGGTGACGGCACGGACCCAGTTAACCAGAACGATAAAATGATCTTGTGGGGAGTGAGCCTAGAGACAAGGTCTGAGGTGTCACACTGTCCCCAAGAGCGGCACGTCCGCAGTCCAGCCAGCTTCGTCTCACAAGACACAAAGTTGCGAAGTTGATTGTCTTTATTCCACTGCCTTCCCCGACTCACAAACCCTCGCTCTAAATTCCTTTAACTCCAGAACCAGGTGCAGAAAAAGGGGAAGGAGCGCTGGAGGGAGAGGCGCTGGAAGGGAAAGAGGCTTCCAGATCCCCTCTTAAAGGAGACGCTAAACCAAGGGCGCTCCCGGGTCCCCGGGAAAGGAAGTAGCTAGAGTCCCCAAAAGCGCCTTTTCCTACCTTCCTGTTGTTCTTGTTATACCCAAAAGTCGAAATCCCAGGCCGGGAAGTCACTGATAGCAGCATTTTTTCTTTACTGTTTGAGAGCTGAGAGAAAGAAGAGAGTGAAGGAAAGGGAGGGGGAAAGGAGAGGGAGAGAGGAAGGGAGGAAAAGAGGGAGGGAAAGGGAGGGGGAGGAGAAAGGAGAAAAGGAGCAAGCAAGGGAGAGAGAGTGAAAGAGAGGGAGAGGGAGGGAGGGAAAGGGAGAGGGAGAGAGAGAGAGAGAGAGAGAGAGAGAGAGAGAGAGAGAGGGGGGGAGGGCAGGGGGGGGAATAGGGAGCTAGGTCTGTTCCTTACGTCACTGAGAGAAGTTAACTCAGACTCAGAGTCAGGAAAAGCCACTTCTACTGGGTCCTAATGCCCACCATGTTCTACTTTGGTTTGTTTTCCATAGGCTTAATAATTCACGCTAGGGAGAAAAGTTCTTAGGTCTACTCCTTTTCCAGTGTATCCCCATCCATCCATGAAAAAGTTCTGATTATAATAAAAAGACAATTATCCTATTATCAATGAAAAGACAAAGATTTTGTTGTTATTTTGTTTTGATTTGAAACTTTCTTTCAGCTACAAGATTTCAAGCTTGGGATGTAAGATGATTTAGCAGTAAAGTTAGGCCTAAGTTAGGTTCCCAGATCTACATGGTAAAAGGAGAAAACCAACTACCCAAAATTGTTCTCTGATCACAACACTTGGGGAGGCTGAAGCAGGCAGATCTCTGTGAATTAAGGCCAGCCTGGTCTACAGAGCAAGTCCAGGACAGCCACATCTACACAGAGAAACCCTGTTTCAAAAAACCAAAAATAAAAATAGATAAATAATTTTCTGACACTCCCCCAAACACCAATGTGGCATGCCCACACATGCACATACAAATTAAATAAATGAAATGATATTTTATTAAGATCTCATGCTTGACTCTGCCTTCCAGAGCATGCAAAGAAAACCATACTGAGGTGCAGGATGTGAGATGAGCTTAGATCTCAAATTATATTAGTGTAATCTAAATGCATTAAAAAGGATCACGGAGGCTCAGGGGATGACTCCTAGCATCCATGTTGGGTGAGCCACACCACCTCTACGGTCCCTAGCTTCCATGGATACCAGCATTCTCAAGCTCACCAGCTCTCTCTCTCTTCCATTTTTTTTTCTGTTTGTTTGTATGTTTTGTGAGGCAGGGTTTCTCTGTGTAGCCCTGGCCGTCCTGGAACTCATTCTGTAGACCAGGCTGGCCTTAAACTCATAGAGATACACCTGACTCTGCTTCCCAAGTGCTGGGATCAAAGGGATGCACCACCACTGCCAGGGAAATATTTTTTAAGATAAAAATGGATCTTTAAAAACTAATAAGGCAGGGCTGGAGAGATGGCTCAGAAGTTAAGAACAGTAGCTGCTCTTCCAAAGGTCCTGAGTTCAATTCCCAGCAACCACATGGTGGCTCACATCCATCTGTAATGAGATCTGGTGCCCTCTTCTGGTGTGCAGGCCTACATGCAAGCAGAACACTGTACAGGTAATAAATAAATATTTTAATAATAATAAGGTAAAAGAAAGACTATGGCTTAGGAATGGTGATATACTATTTAAAGCTGTAACCCCAGCATGTATGAAGAAGGATCACCAAGTCTGAGGCCAGCCTGATCTATATAACAAGTTCCAAGACAGCCAAGGGCACTTACTGATGGTAAGATACACAAACGGGGTCGAGGCAAGAGGATCACAGCTTCCAGCCCCGACTGTACTATTCTTTAGATGATGCTTCAGCAGGTAAAAGTGTCAAAAGATCTGGATTCAATTCCTGGGACCCAAATGGTACAACGGAGAACCCACTCCTGAAGTTTGTCCTCTGACCTCCACACATTCTGTAGCATGTACTCCCCAACACACACACACACACACACACACACACACACACACACACACACTCCAACATTTTTTAAATGTAATAAAACAGAACAAAACTGAGTACACCAAAAAGCAAACACAAATTAAGTATACCATGAAAATAATCTCAAATCCTTTGTTCTGTTCCTTCTGGGGTGATGTTAACCAGCTGATACCAGTATTCCCATTTCAGAGTCTCCCAGCAGGAGTTCATACTTAAGAAGTCATTATCAACAGAACAGTTCCAAGGACCTCAGTGCTTCGTGATTTTTTTTAACGAGTGGAAGCTTTTTATTTCATCATCTTGTTTACTTGTTTTTCTCTGGTGGTGCTAGGGATCAAAACCAAAGGCTTCAGGAGGCTAAGCAAGAGCTCTCCCAGCAAGCTAAGCCTTCAGCCCCAGTGGAAGCTATCTTATCTAACTGTGTAATTTGTTTACTTACTTATATATACAAGATGGGGCCTCCCTCTGTAGCTCTCACTGACCTCAAACTCAATATCCCCGTTTCAGACTCCTTAGTGAAAGATTACAAGAATATACAGGAACAATCACACTCTGTTTTGTTTGGTTGACTTGGTTTTGGCTGTTTTGTTTGATGGTGCCAAGATGATAAAGCACTGTACCATGAGCTAGAGTCCCACCCTTCCAGCATATACTTGATTCTTTTTTTTTTTGCTTTGTATTTGTTGTTTTTTCAAGACAGTATTTCTCTGTGTAGCTTTGACTGCTCTGGAACTTTGTAGACCAGGCTGGCCTGGAACTCACAGAGATCCTTCTGCCTTTGCCTCCCTGAGTGCTGGGATCACAGGCATGTGCCACAGCGCCCAGACACTTGATTCTTATTTTAAAGTTAGATTTATTTAATCATTTATGGGTATTGTGTACCAGGTGTGTTCCTGGTGCCAACGGAGGTCTGAAAAGAGCATCAGATTCCCTAGAACTGTAGTTACCGATGTTAGTGAGCCATGTGGGTGTGCTGAGAATCAAGTCTGGGTCCTCTGTAATAGCTCTTAATCACTAACTCTCCAGCCTTGTTTGGTACTTTTTTTGAGACAGGGTCTCATGTAGCCCAAGCTGGTGTTGATTTCCACCTAGCCAGGAACAACCCTGAAGCTGAATCAGCATGCTGCTCTCATGAGGTCTCGGTAGGAGCACCACCTTGGCCAGCACTTTGACTTTTTGTTCTATTTCCTCACCCTTAAGACCCACGAAGCTTAAACAAGTATAAAAACTCACCAGGTGTGGATTTTATAGCCAAGCTGAATGAAGTTCACAGAGCTAGGAGGTCAGCTCTGAGCTGTCAAACAAACAAATCATAACTCTTTAAAAGCCATGCTCCATAAGGAAGGAAAATATGAAACCTTTTAGGAAAGGAGAATATAACTGTGTCGAGAATATCACACAGTTGCAGGAACACTCACCTCCAATATGCCCTTGAAGAAAAGACAGCTTAGGAATGATACCAAGGAGGCCTACCCATCCAGCTAGAACAGGAAGGGAGAGAGACCGCCTTCAGATTCCTTCCTCAGGCCTCCCGATGCCCTCACACACAAGCTCCTGAAGTAAGTTAACTTGTCCTTGTCACAGCAGACATTAAGCCCAAACTCTCTCTAAAATGAAGCTGTGCTCTCTGCTTTCCTGTCACTATTTTGCTGTGATGATGGAGCAGACAGTGCCAGCATTCGGCAGAGTAAATCCACACATGCACGGCTACCCCCAACTCTAACTTTCATTTCCAACAGGACAGGAAGTGCCTGCTCAGCTCCAGGGACACAGGAAGGGTGGGAACAGCCTCCACGTGGGAACTGCAACTGAAAATGGAAATGACAACCTAGTACAGTAAACAAGTAAATAACATTATCTCAGGGGCACAGTGCTTTTCACGAACTTCTTTTTCTACCCTCAGAAGCTTTCATTCATAATATCCCAACTCATTCTTGCCATTTTAGTACAGTCTTCCCAAAGGATATTAAGTGGTTATCTCATTTCTCATTATAGCCAGCTCCAAAACAGCCAGAGCTATATCTTGAGAGCTTGTCTGAAAAAACAACAAACAAACAAACAAAAAAAGGCCAGGCAAGTTGGTCTTTACTCTCAGGACTCAGGAGGCAGAGGCAGGTGAATCTCTGTGAGTTTGAGGCCAGCCTGGTTTACAGAGCAAGCTCCAGGAACAGCCAGGGTTACATAGTAAGAGCCTGTCTCAAAACAAAACGAAACCATTCTAGTTCAGTTCCTCAACTCACAAGCTAAGTGACCCTGAGAGAACTAAGTACCTCACATGTATGAAACTTAAAAAAAAAAAAAAAAATTATACTTATATTTGGTCTTTTGAGACAGGGTATCCCTGTTCTGAGTGCTGGGACTAAAGGAGTGTGCAACCACCGCCTGGTTGATTTACTTTTACTTTATTTATGTGTGTGGGCATGTAATCACAGAACAAGTCTCATGAACTGGCTCCCTCGGGCTCCCTGTGGAAAGTGGACTGGACTCAGGTTACAAGTGCCTCTAACTGTCATTTTTTTTTTTTTTTTTGAGACAGTCCCTTATATAGAAGACATTTCTCACTTGTAAAAGGGAGTAAATAATTACCTGTTTCCTATAAGTGTAAGTGAAACAAAATGAAGCAGCATGTATGCAGCCTGTAGGAAGTTCCTGACACTCAGGTGTTAGTAGCATTACGATTAGTTACTGTCTCCCAGGTGGATCCATTTGAGTATCATGTAACTATTTGAAGACCTTAGGTGAACATTCCAAAAACTAGTATCTTAGTTATTCAAGGATATACTATGGGCCAGCAAGATGGCTCAGCTGGTAAAGGTGCTTACTGCGCACACCTGAAAACCTGAGTTCAGAATGTGGAGTCCACAGAGGAAGGACAGAACCAGCTGTCTAGAGTGTCGTGACACACACAGTGATGGTAAGTTTCAACTAACTTAAATATTAAGATTATCCTAGGACTCCTGAGAGTTGAGGCTCCCACCTGTAACCTTAGCACTCAGGAGGATCTCTAGAGTTCCAAGCAAGCCAGGGCTGGATAGTGAAATCCTGCTAGACAACAAAGCATATTCTAGGATGGACCAAGAGGCTCACATACATACCAGGAGAAGATCAGATAAGTTTCAAAGTTGCTTGCAGATTTTTACAGGTAAGCCTACCCACTTTCCTGAATTATAACTCAAAAAACATTAACTACCCCCCCCCCGCATCCCTTAATATTCAGATCCTAAGCAAGATTTCCCTCCTCTGGACATTCCCACTTTTTCTGAGAAGTCTGACCCCCAGGACAACCGCTTGCAAACCTCAACTGATGGACCTGCCTGCTTTCTTGGACTCTAACTCAAAAGGCTTAACTTTCTTTCTTTCTCTTCC